TGCTGACCTGAAGTGGGTCGTGCCCATGAAAGCTCACGATACCATCTATATTTTTGTTAAGTCTTCACGGTGCTGTAGGACCACTCATTGCTTTTGAAGTTCAGACTCACACAGCTACCTCCAGGAGACTTTGATAGATCTTGCAATTCGTCTGACTTTATCCAAGTCTTTAATGCCATAGTCCCACCACTAGATGGCTTTTTAACCAGCTGGGTACTGGCCGTTCCTTTTCTTCCCTGGATGCATCATATATTTTGTAGTGGGCAGGATCTGTATTTGGTTTAGCTGTGAGATTATGACAGGTTCAGTCTGCAGCAAAATGCTTTTGGGTTGAACAACCTCCTAAGCTATATGAAAGGTAAAGACCTTGAGCAAGGAAAAACTGGGTCTGGCAGAGGCATTCCTCTGTGCCCCTAGCTAATCTGTCAGATTAATTTTCAGATGGCCCAGGTACTGCGGCTTCCCCCATTTTCTCCTGGGAAATTACTCCTTCACAGACTTCATCGCACCATCAGACTGTTTATCCCCTTGATACTCATTTTAAATGTGTTCTTTCGGTAATGTCAAGCTCACAAAAACCTCGCCACAAGGAAATGGGGGGGGGGGGGGTCTCTTTAGCCATCCCTGAAAACGTGCCTTGCCCAGAATTATACTGCAGAAGGCTTAAAATGGCTTTCGGATATCAACACTTATAGTGGCTGCAGCCAATCGGAGGCGAGGAAAGAAATGAATGGAGCCCATGGCAAATGAAAGAGGTACTTGGTTGCCAGCATCCTGCCAGGGGGAGGTTGCCTACAGCTGTTCCATGCAGTGTGAGCACGTTCAGGCCAAGGTATTACACAAGGTGGGGGAGAGAATATCTAACACTGGCCAACCTCGGGCCTTTTGGCTATGCAGAGCTCCCCTTCCTGACGCTGAGCTCCCTGGCTGGAAAGCCTGTCTGTCTCACTGGTAGAAGTTGGCCCAACCCAGGCCAATGCTTACCCATCCCGCCTTGCTAGACCGGATTTGGACGCAAGACGGCTGAGTAAGGTGGAGCCTTCTCTTTTGGCTCACCTCAGCATCCTTTCCTAGGACAGGGGCTGGAGCAGTTGGAACCCCTTCACTCTAAGACCAGGGGTCTTTTCTCAGCCCTCCTCTCCTGCGAAGAAAGGCTGTCGGGTCTCAGCCAGGCCTACCCCTGCCTGGGCCCTGCTGTCTCCCCTGGAACGTGCCCCCTCCAACTCCGTGCCTGTGGCAACACCCTGCCCGCACTCTTCCTGGGTCAAAGGCTGAGGGACCTCAAAGGGGACCCCGGCTTTGGCTCCTCCCTAGTACCAAGCTGACCCCTTGGGTTTCCTGCAGCTGGCCACGGGCTGGGGTGAGTTTAGTCCCAGGGGTGGGGTGAGACCTCCTGCTGCCCCTGCTTCTCCTGGGCCAGGCTGCCACCTCTCCCTGCATCTTTTCCGGGAGAACCC